ACAAAACTTCACAGAATTAACAGGAAAAGATACAAAAAGTACTTGCACATATATTTAATTGTTTAAAAAAAACACGGTAAGAGAAAATTATATTTAATCTAAATATAAGATAGCATAATCTATCAAATCAATAAGAGCTTACTTTTGTAATATAGTAGCTTCCTCTTCTGCTAAAATATGGATTCTCTTGTGTGATTGCAGTGTCACTTTTACCCCAAGGTTCCTCTTTTTCAATAAGACTCACTGTGGGCTGTGGGAGTAACTGATGAGATCTTTTCATCAGTCACTCATTTTTATTTGGATGTGCTGACATGAGCTATTTTGAATCAGTTCAGCAACAGGAAGAAAAATAAATGAACCCATACAGTTTCATTTTATGAAGTCTGTAAAACACCAAGTGGCATGTCCAGACGGCTACAGGGCACCAACTCTGAATGCCATATTTGATCTTTGCTATAATTTTTGGCAGGTGCTACCAATGTCATAATTTGGCTCTGAGGAAGCAGTTATTCTTTGACAAGTGAAAATCACTGGAACATGACTTCCATGTGACTTGTAAGAATTCAGTTCTGTCGTCTCCAAAAACAAATGGGGAGATCTGAGCCACTCACATTGAATAACATGGCTTGTCTCAGGATTGTGTTACTGAGTGACTGACAGAATTATTTTTTCTTTTGAAGTACTGCTCTGTAGCAACACCTGGTAGGTTACATGACAGGGCTCCAGCTAAGCAGTTAATGCTGTGAGTAGCACAAGAATCTGAGATCAGCTTGTTGGCAGCTGGATTCATAGCTTATGTAATTTGTGACAGAACTTAGCACTTCCAAGTTCTTGGCCAGATATTTTCACCCTTGGTCATGTTGAGTAGTACACCACTCTAATAATGCCCTTGAAATGAATGGAATTACCTGTGGAATAAGTTACTGTTCAATAGAGTCATGAGAACATAGGGCAGCAAAGGACTTGCTGGAGTCTCGTCCCTGCTGTTAGAGATAACCACATCAGATACTCCCTAAATAATAAATGTATTGAGTTTTATCTCAAGCCAGTTAGATTTTTTTTGTCTGGATTGCTTCCATTGGAAAACTGTTCTGGAAGCTCCCTCCTATCTCTGGCTGGAAACTTTCTAATTTCTAACCTAAACTTGTTCATGGCAACCACTTGTTTTTGTGATATGGTTGTCCTTCATAGTTTAAATGGGTCTTCTTCCTCCCTTGTGCTCATACCTGATGTATTAAGGGTGAAGATGCATGTAATATCTGGAAGGCTTCATGCCATTTGGAGTGCTCCAAGAATGACACGAGGGGAAATCAGGTCTACTTAGAAGTGCTTCAAAATTAGCAGCTTCAGGTTACATCTACATGCTCTATAGGGTGTGAGAGGGAACCCCTGGGTTGTCCAGCCTCCCACAGTGCTTTCCTTTCCTACCCCACCCCTGGGGAGAGGTGGGTCAGCCAGGCACTGGGTCAGTGAGCAGTCTATTGTTATTGCATAATGGTGACTAGAATTGTACATAGCATTGCAGAAGAGGTATTATTACTGCCCTGTGTCTACTGCAAATAACTCAACTGATACATTTTAGTATTACATTTATCCTTTTCACAGCTTCAAAATTGGTGGCTGGTAGTTGTCCTGACTAATACACCAGGTATTTTTCCACATCTATTTTTTCACAAGTGATGAGCTGCCAGCCTATAGAACAGATTTTTATTAGACCCTAAGTACATGACCTTGCCCTTTATATTATTAAATTGAATCTCATTTCTATTACTTCACTTCTTGGGGTCATCAAATTCTTCCTATATGATAGTTCACTCATCTTCTGTGTTAATAATGCTTCTCAACCAACCATCAGCCAATTTCATTTGTACACTCCTACTTCTTTGTGCCAAGATTGTTAATGAAAATATCAAACTAGGTTTCATTCAAAGACTAACTCCATAAGTAACTCCCCTCACCTTTAACCTGCTCTTATTCACCTTACCATTCTTGTACCAATCTAAAATTTTTCCATTTTAGCATATTTCCCATGTGACAGTGTACCAAATGTTTTAGTAAAGTCCAGATAAATAAAATCTTCTTTATTTCACTTGCCCAGGAAATCAGTTATTGTCAAAAAAGGTTATCTTTCTTTAATATCTACTTTTGGTAAGCACAATCTGTTATTTGGTAGCAAGTTGTATTTTATTCCATTTCCCAGTTATCACCAGGTTTTTAACTAGTAATTTCTTCAGATTCTTTTTTTTAGAACCTTGCATGCTATTGAGGTCAAACTGATAGGCCTGTAGGGTAACACCCTATATGATACATTCAGGATCTAATTTTCTTTCAATACCCAAAGCATAACTGAATTACAAAGCTACTTGCCCCACTATCTAGGCTGGGTAATGAACGCAGTTCAGCACAGTTGCCTTTTAATAGCAGTTACTCATGTAAATACTAGGGCTGTGTGACGCTTCGGGTGCTGATTCAATACAGAGGAGATTGAGCCCAATTCGGTGGCCGAATTTCTGAATCCGAATCGAATCAGAGGACCAATTAAAAGGTCCAAATCGATTCAAAGCTCTCTGAATCAATTTGGAGAGCTTCAGTGATTTTCAGGGAGCTGGACCCAGACTCCATGCTGGTGAGTAGGAGGCGGGGGAGGGGGGACTGGAGGAAGGGACAGGGGACCATGGGAGGGATCCCTGCCAGGCCCCATCCCCTTCCTGTGCCCCCTTCCCCCTGACCCCTGCCCGCTCTCCCAGTTCCCCCATGGCTGCCTGGCCTGGCCCAGCTCCCAGCCCTTTAAAAAAACACCATCAAAATCCCGAACTCACTGGCTGCTGCAGCAGCCTTAGGGCTTCTGGGGGCTTGTGGAAGAGCCCTCCATGCAGCGCAGGGAAGTGGGGGGCAGCAGCGATCACCCCCTGCCTGCCTGCTTGGCAGGAGCTGGTTAGTGCTGGGTTTTGGTTTTTTTAAAGGCTGGAGCTGGGGCAGGTGGGACAGCCATGCGGTGGCTGGGACAGTGGTTAGGGATCAGGGGCTTTTTTTTAAACAACTGGGAGCTAGGCCAGGCAGGGCAGCCATGGAGGGGCCTGGAGAGTGTGTGGGTGTTGGGGGGCTCATGGCAGATTCCCCCCCACATGGTGTGGTGCAGTGGGGGGCAGTGGGGATTGCCCCCTGCCTGGCAGCAACTGGTGAGTGGGGGCTTTTTTTTTCCCAAAGAGCCAGGAGCTGGGGCCAAGCAGGGCAGCCATTTGAGAGCATGTGGGGGATGGGTCCCGAGTGATTTAGAGATTCAGCTGATTTGGCAGCAGCCAAATCTCTGAATTGGATTCAGCCAAATTGATTTGGGACTGTGAGTCGAATTGCCAGATCTAATCACTGTCCCCCGAATTGGCTGAATCTGAAGCAAATACTAGCCACTTCACACAGGCCTAGTAAATACCTGGTTAACCTATGTATCATGACATTTGCAAGTCACTCTGGATATGATAGTCCTTTTCTTCCACCCTTTGTCTATTATTCTGTTTTGTACAGTGCTGAACAGAATGGGGCTCCTTTATTGATGGGCCTCTTAAGTATTATCATAATACAAGAAGATAATGATAATGATGAAAGGTAGAATCTTGGTAGATTTTTCATGCAGGTGAAGAACATAGGGTAAGTAGGAGGGAACTTTTTTTAATTTAAAAAAGCCTCTTTAGTTGAGGTGTCTGAAAAGTTTTAAATATTTTCAGTTTGTCAGGTCCAGTGTGGAATTGGAAGGGAGGAAGACCCAGCTGTCCCAGAATAACCCAGTGGTTAGGACCCATGTTTGGGATTCTGTGTTAGGCAGAACAGAGAATTAAATCTGGATCTTCTACATTTTCAGGCAAGTTTCTGAACCAGCGGACTATAGAACTGGGATTTCACTTTGCCTAAGTAATTAAACTATTCACTGGGCCAGAGAAAGAGAGAAGAGAGAGAGAGCTGACTTGACAGCTAACTTGTTTTGGCAGACTGCCTGATGCAGAGCAGGGACATGGACCTTTGTTTTCCATAACTGGACTGAGTGCACTGGGCTATTTTCACTTCAAGTGTGGGTGTCACCTATCAGATGACAGCATCATGAAGTGAGCTCAGGCTCACAAGATCTTATGCATCTCTGATTTTAGTAATTCTATATGGTGCATGTACCTCTACTTTGTCTTGTGTCACCCATCCCCACCTTCCCAGTTCCCCCATGAAACATTTTTTAAAGTCTTTGCTTCATTGTGCACTGAAGCAAAAACAACTGTTGAAACCTCAACTTGTGTACAGGGGAAATGTTATTTCTTGACACTCTCTACTTGTTAACTTACCAGAACCCATTGCATGTTAGAGCTCACCAGTACCAAGGCAATTATGTTTTTGACAGTTGCCATACATTTGCAGAAGTTAAATAGGCATGTATAAAGACAAAACTATAAGAACAGACTAGATTGGTGCATGGGAAAAAGCAAAACATGCACAATATCTTTTTTGTTTTGGTTAATTAAAATGTGTTGCAAGCTGAGACTTGGCATAAAAGTATCAGTTTTAAACTAAATACAGACTGACACAATAGACCATAATAGCCCTGCAGCAGCTGAGAGAGTCAGTTGTATAAATACCATTTGATTTAAAAAAATTATTTACATATGGATCTACGTTAGTCGTAACAAAAGAGCCATTGTTTTGAGTAAATAATTTCTACTTTGAAAAGCAAGTCAGTGCGTCTCTGGAGATATTATAGCCTATTTTGTAAGTAAATGGTTTGCAAAGTGCATTGTGTTTGTCATCAATTCCAATGTAAGTGTGAAAGACTTTGCTGTTTGCTGGCTGTGTGGTTCTAAGACCAGATTATAGTGGACAAATGTCCTGATCATAAAAATTACCCACCTCATTGGTACCCTCAGCAAGGAAAAGTTAGACTGAATATTTCTGAGAAATGAGATAAACTCTTATGCATAAAAAATATTACCCCAAGTCAGAAATGTGGAAACACAGCAGTACAACTCCTGTCCAATAGTACCACAGTACCAAATGGATGATGTTAATAAAGAGATGCATTTTATTTCCAGGTGTGTCAGTCATACACCTCTCACAAGCGTGAGATTCATGTAAGTATAAAATAAAATTGTCTGCAGTTGCTATGTGATGGGCTGTAGCAACTGAGAAAATGTTAACCAAAACTGATCAATCACCATCACCCTCTCTCCACTCCCACATTGCACCTGCTGTGCCACTGTTCATATATTAACCTAGAATTCAAGTTAACAGAATGCATTGCATCATGAAAATGGCACAAGTAGGGC